AAACAATGCGTGAAAATATAACATACATGTACAAATCTACAAAGCATTAAAAATACCTATATTGTAATTAATAAAGCCCAAATTAAAAAATGAATAAGGCCCAATAAATTCATTAATGTTATTGGGCCAGTAGCCTAAAGATCGGGCCCGTGCGGTTTGGTTTTTTGTATCTGAAAATTTGACCCAAATAAAAGCATGAGTACGGTCCATATTTCAATTATTGATCGGACGTTCAGAAAATCAAAACAAAATCCCACGGTCCAAAATTGAGCATTTGGGATATAAAAGGAAAAAAAACCCAAAAAACCAGGGTTTTCACTCATTCACCGCCTCACTCTCTCTAACATTCTCTAACATTTGCTCTGCCATCGGTTATGGTTTTGCAAGTAAAATTATCGTCAAATCGATAATATGTTAGAGATTGAGTGAAGAAATTGGTGGATCTATGGTTATTCGATTTTTTTTATGATTAGCCTCTATTGAAAACCCGATTCCTGTTTTGTCTTATTTTTTTTCACGGGATACCTGAGTTTTTTGCTCGAAATCTACTGATAAACTGATAATCGTTATTTTTTTGGCATTTTCGATTTTTTTTAGTCGATCTTAATACGATCTCCACTCGATACTTATTTGCCTTTTTTTTTTTATTTTTTCAGATCTAGTTGATTTTGCTATAAAAAATGTAGATCCGAAAGAGATCTACTGAAAGACTTCAAAAACCGTTTGTTTTCTTTTATTTGTTTAATAAATTGTATGAACTGATATGTTTTTTAGTTTATTTAGTTTTGTTTTTATGTTATTTTAAGTTTTATCACGGGATAACTAATTCTGTCGATCGAAATATATGCTAAACTGATAATCGATCTGTTTTAACCATGTTCGAATTTTTTTTGTTGAGATTACTACGATCTGCACTCGAGTATTATTTGTATTTCTTCTTTTTTTAAGTTCTAGTTCATTTTGTTCGAAAATTCTGTACATATGAAAGAGATATACTGAAAGACTTCCAAAACCATCCGTTTTTTGCATCTGTGTTGATAAATTGTATTAATTTATTTGTTTTTTTTAGTTGTTTTTGTTTTTAAACTATGTTGTTTTGCTATTTTGGTTTCGTACAAGTCTTTCATTTGTTTAATTAAAAAATTAGCCCAATCATATTTTTATCATTGATTCATTGTTTGATTTGTTTTTTGGTTTTTTGCAGGAGGTCGAAGGAGTGAGAATCGTTGATTCAGTGTTTGAAGATTTGTAATTTAAATTGCATCGTTGAATTGCTTTTACAGAATTTAGATAACGCGTGAAAATAGTTCAGATCATTATCTTTAGTAACAAATCAGATTTGATAATTATCTGTTGTAAAAAATCAGACCAAAAAATAATTTCTATAATTTATAGATTATTTTTTAAAAAAATTCGACACAATCACAATTATCTGTACCAACAAATTAGACCACATCATTATCTGTAGTAACAAATCAGATAAGAATCTCTTCTTATATAATTTGTAATTGCTTATAAAAAATTCCAATCAACTGCACGCGTGAAATCTGTTTTAATTTGGGTAGAAGATTTAAAAAAAAATATTCCAAACAACTGTACGCGTGAAATCTGTTTTATTTTGGGAAGAAGATTTTTGAAAAAGATCAAACACTCATAACGCGCCCGTTACATTTCTAAATAAATGCAGATTTTGAATTCGAAAAAAATTATGTGATATTATATTATATTGCTCAAAATAGTAATGCATTTATTGCATTGACTTTTCAACTTACTAAATTTAGTAAATGGTACCCCTTATTATATAAGTATAGATTATTATTATTATTATTATTATTATTATTACTAATACAGTTCCCGTGCAATGCACGAGAGCATTTAATACATACTTGTTTTTTAAGGTATTTTCGTATTTAAATTGTCTTATGGCATTAAAAGTATCATGAAAATATAATTTATACTTCCTCATTTTTTTAATAAGTGTCATTTTCGAAAAGTTGCACAGTAATTAAGAATTTTTTTTGTCAATAATAACCTCATTAATTAGCATATAGATTGATGTTTTGAGAAAAGATAAAGAGTGAATATAAAATATATTTATTAACTAGATGAGGTAATAATGGAAAAATGTGTACAAAAAATCCAAAATGTCATTTATTTGGCTAATTGTTGATAAAACCAAAATGACATTTACAAAAAAAAAAAAAACAAAAAACGGAGCTAGTATGTCTTTTTTTAATCTAATTCAAAGTTTTGATTAAGGAAAAAATGAAAAAAATCATTACTTTTTTCTAACAATAAAATTGATTTTCTACCAATAATGAATTTTTTACCAAACAAATTGATCCAAATATTTGGTCAGAACAAAGTGAAAATAATCATCAATTTTTCCTGAAAATGCAATTGAATTTTCCTAACAATGCACCGATATTTTTACCAAACAAATTGAATTGAAATTAATTATAATAAAAATTCAGAATAATTTGTTAAGATTTATGCAATTGTTTTTTTTCTTAAAAAAATTGATATGAACTTAACACACACAAAATAATAATAATAATAATAATAATAATAATAATAATAATAATAAAAATAATAATAATAATAATATGATCTTACCAAAATCTCGGTAAAACATGGTTAAAAAAAACATAAAAATCCAAAAAAATGGTGCATTCAAATTTTAAGAGGTTACACTCAATTTTTCTTATAAAAGTTGCACATGATTTTGAATTTTATTTGAATTTTTTTCTTAAATAATTAGATAAGGTTTGATTTTAAATATCAAAGATGAACCGATTTTGTTACTAAAACATATGGATACAATTTTGAATGTATATATCCAGTCCAAATCTCAATAAAAATTGCACATGGTTTATCTAATTTACACACATTTTTTGAAAGAAAAAATATTCAAAAAGATTGGAAGAATTTGTTAAAAATTATACAACTATTTCTTTCCTAAATTTATATCCAATTTGCACGGTATTTAAATTTCTGTGTATTTAGAATTATTTTCATAGATAATTGACACATTTTTTGCATAAAAATCTCTAAATTTGTTAAAAAAAAATAGAATTTAGATTTTAGTAAAAAACTAAAAAATGATACGACAAAAAAAGAGATTCAAATTTTACCATAAAAATCTCCAAATTTGTTATCAAAAAAATGAGATTCGGATTTGTTACTAAATATTCACATGTGTTTTCTCAAAATTACCACTAATAGTAAGTCAAACCTTTTATATTTTTTTGTCAAACTTACTATAAAAGTATTTTTCCTAATAACTTTTTTATATCAGTATAGATTATTATTATTATTATTAAATTTATTATTATTGTTGTTGTTATTTTATTATTATTATTGTTATTACATATACCCGTGAATATATAAAATAAATTTTATCATATATATTTAATTATTTATTTACTTTGTCTATTATTGATGGTGTGTCGTCTTGGGATCTTGGAAAATGATAAATTTTTATATTGGGCACTTCCTCGCCTAGAACCAACTTCATAATCTGAATTAACGTTTTAAAATAAATTTTAACTAGTACAACACTCATGTATTACATGGGTGGCGACGGTGCCTCGTTCATGGACGGATTCATAAAAGTGGGATGGGTATCCGGACAAGTCAAATCCAAGACCGTCCCGGCCGGCGTCCACCCTTACCATAAATAATGAACATATTATAGATAATCCGAACCTAAATATATTTGGATTAGAAGTAAACTAAATCTACCCAAGCCTAATAACGAAGCATGTATTTTTGCCACATAGGATCCCGAAGCATGCAAGCCTGCACATAGACTCAACACGTTCTCAATTAATATACATGGAGGGATAACCAAGGGTCTATGTGAAATTTGTTAGTTCTCATATGGGCCTAAACCTAGTGAATAATAAGGGCTTGATTGGCTACAAAATACAACTGCTTTTAGATTCATCGAATAATTTTTTTTATACTATTTAACTCAATTTTAATTAAACTCAACTTTATTTAATATTATCAATATAATTAAATAATAACAATCAATCTTATCATACTTCATATCAACTTTAACTCATTATATCTACTCACATATTTTTATCTATTTATCATTTCCAATAACATTTGTTTTACTTTTATATAACATCAATTTTAGTAAATATATTTTAAATTATTATAATAAAAAATCAAAATCACGTCCAATCATCCACTCAATCATCAAAATAATTCACTTTAACTAATAAATCTAATTAAAGCTAATTTTATTTATATTCTTTTTTTTTTTTGAAACGATAGATTTTATAACAAAAAACACATAGATACAACCAGACATCAGCCAGAATAAGCCAAACAGCTATCAAGCCGAATCTAGCGAGAGGAGTACACACGTAAGTGCATCTTAGAATTAGCCAAACTAACTCACCCACTACCCCACAAACTAAACTAAACTAAACTAAACACTCCCACAAAAGAGAATCAAACTTCTACAAAGAAGAATCCAACTTCTACAAAGAAGAATAACACTTCTAAAAAGGAGAATTAAACAACACACCCACACACCCAAAACAACACATAAACAAAATAAACACACAATATTAGAATAAACCCTTTCCCCAACCGGCAACCAACTGCGAAGCCACGAACACAACACCCAGGGACAACCGGCCACACGAATAGGAACCCAGCCCGAATATAGCTCCAAAAACTCCAGAGGTGGCTAACCCGGCTAATTGAAACCACACCAAACGGCCAAATTCTCCACCCAAGTGGACCACCCCGGACCAGCAACCGGAGGCAGCTCCTCCTCTTCCCACACAGCAACCAAGGACTGCAAGCACCAAACACCACCCATGGCCCACAGCCCGAACCCGATCTGACTTCCTAGCACCATGGAAGAACAGGAAAAGAGTGAAAGGAAGAACCTAACCTCAGCCCCAACGAACTCAAAAGAGCCGGCTGGAGCCAGTCGCCCGACGCCTCGTAAGACACGCTTGAAGCTCGCCGGACATAGTCGACCGACGAGGCGGCGAAGCACTACACCGGAGAGGGGCAGACGAGCTTTGGACGACGAACACCACGGTCCGGTGATGGCTAGCGCCATGGCGTCGCAGAGAGCCCGGAAGGGGGGAGGCACCGGCGAAATTGAGGCTAGGGTTTTTTAATTTTTCGATTTGGGGATCGCAGGGGAGAGAGAACTAAAATTTTATTTATATTCAATCGTGCCCTAAATAATTTTTCTGATCCGAAACCAATGTCAACGGGCCGAGCTCGCCGGGCCATCCCGCCCGGTGGCCATGTCTGACGAATAAAGTTATCGTCTAATCTAAAAATTTTATACTCCCTCCTATTTTTAATAGCTATCATTTTGAAAAGTTACACAATAATTAAGAATATTTTTTTTTATCAATAATAACCCTCATTAATGAGGATAAAAATTGATGTTTTGGAAAAATATGGAGAGTAAATATGAAAAGACGTAATGTATTTATTAGTTAGATGAGGGTAATAATAGAAAAATATGTACAAAATAGCCAAAACGACATTTATTTAACAAATAATCAATTAAGCTAGGATGACAAATAATAAAAATAGGAGGGAGTATATAATAAAATAAATATAATACTTCATGATTGTATTCCAGGCCTCTAAGGAGGACCTTATGCTTGCTGTGACTAATAGTTGGCCTATTCGCCAACTTGACTCCTGGTCAGGGGATCCTTCTTCGTTCTGACTGTGATCTTCAACTCTATGCGTGGTGTGATTCGGATTTCAAGTAGCCTTTTAGAATTCGTTCTGACTGTGATCTTCAACTCTATGCGTGGTGTGATTCGGATTTCAGGTAGCCTTTTAGAATAATGCTTTGATCAAGAACTGTCGCTAGCAATAGACGCGGTTCTCATATATATAATATATATATATTAATATAACATGAATGGCTTATAATAATAATAACAATAACAATAATATATTATATTCGCCGATACAAAAAGGACAAACCTAACCGCCGATGCAAAACCGATTCTCTTTTTCCAAGTTTATCTGAAAACCATTTCCCCTCTCTAGCTGCTTCCTTTTTATCTCTCTCATAATCAAACGTTTCTCTTACTCTGTGTGAACTCATTTGGGATTATCATCTAGATTCCAATTCAATTGTCCAGAAAAACGCAGTTGAAATCTTATCCGATTCCGAATTTGTTAGATTCTCTTGAATTTGTAGATTTCGTCGTTTATTGTTTCTGTCTGATGGCTGCGAGTGCCAATCCGTCATCAGGCGGCCATAGCAACGCCTGCAACGGCAGTACAAATGGCGGGAAGAGTAACGGCGCCGGTAGAGAGAATGGGAATGGCGCCGGCGGCGTCTCAGCGGACAACCCGGTGGCGGGACCCACACAGGTGGCTCTCCGCCACAATCCCGGCCTGTCGCTAGATTGGACGCACGAGGAGCAGTCTATACTCGAGGATTTGCTGGCAAAGTCGGCTCCCGGTTCTTTTACGTTTCAATATCCTAGCGTGCACACATGATTTGTCTGTCTTGTGTATATAAGTGATTTGGTTATGTGTTTCTTGGTTACAGAATGAACTCCGTATTGTTATTTGTTATCTTTTTATATTTAGGGTCGAGAAACTGAATTTCTAGGTGATTTTCTGCTTTGTTTTGGTGTGTTGCCAATCTTACTATATATCTTTCTCAGTCCGGAATGAGATTATGAACTTTTAGGTGTTTTTTTTGTTTGTATTCCTGTGTTGCCGCTATTTTTTGGAGCTTGTATTATCATTTCAATGTTATGAGCTATAGATTTGGTATGCCAAGGAAATTTTGGTGGGATTATTTGCAGTGTTATGAGATCTTACAAAATTCTATACAATGGGCAGTTTAAGTGAACTTGGTGCCAAACCAAACTAGTGCACAAGTACTGCATTGTTACTCTGCTTCCTTTATCTTTGTTTTTGAGGTGGTGGGTTAATATTTTTGTATTTGCTATCTGTAACTATATAATTTGATCTTGAGTGCTGACTGCTGAAAACGACTAGTTATAAGTGCTTGTCACCCCATGGGCTGAAATACTAGTCAGATTAAAAAGAGCTCATGCCTGCAAACAATCCGAGTTTCAATTACCATGAACTAACTGACTGACGATGAGTAGGAGCTTTGTTTGTGCTGCTTGATCTTACTTGGTATCCATGTCGGTATGTTCCAGCTCATAGTTTGTTAAATAATAAAGATAATCATAAATGAGAGTTCACTCATGTATGCCTTCATGGTGTCTGTTGTAACGTTCACCTGTGAGTTGTCCCATATTGATTAATTAGAGGAAATGAGCCAAACTTATAAGCATAGTGAAACACAGATTGATTTTGGGATGGGACTTTATTTAGGCGGCAAGTAGGCTCACCCTTTGAAGGGGTTGCACTTCAATTGTGTAGGACCGCACTAAGTCCTCTAGAGTGTATAAATTGACAACAGGCCTAATGTGGGAGCTGCGGTGACTATTGATTGTGCCAGAGATGGGAGATGCGATTAGCAAAGACTCACAGTGGGGTGTTTGAATGTTCACTTATGAGATGTCCCATATTGATCAATTAGGGAAAATGAGCTAAGCTTTTAGCTTAATGAAGTACTCCTATCATCAATTGATTTTGGAATTGAATTTTACTAGGCACACCCTTCATTTGGGCGCACTTCACTTGTGGAGGACGCACCATGTCCCTGAATGTATAAATATAAAAGTGGCATATTTTATCGATGGAACATGTTGCCAATTTGTGATTGGGTTTAGGCAACCAAGGAGTGTTGCTTTCGGGTGGTTAGTATCCTTGTTCACCGGATCACATGGCGCAACATAATTGAAGTTTCATGAATATTAACATACTCGCGAATAATGTGCACTTGCGTGTCGCTGTTTCATTTGCAGTCATTTGTCGTATTTTCATCATTTGGAAGTCGACCAACAACATGGATACACTAGACATGATAAGAATCAAGGAAAGATTTGAAACTGTTACATGTATGAACTTTTAAGAGTTTATGTAACTGGGTAGTCCTCTTACCTGGTAAAATAATTCAAACTAGGGCCACTTGAGCATTTATGAAGTTTACTTATCTTGCTCTCTAGTATCACTTTTCTATTCATGCTTACAGCTTAGACGAAGACTTGACCGAAAATCTTTGTAGTCTAACCTTAGCCACCCCATTAAGACAATACTGCATTGACCCTTTTGTTCGTGGTAGCCATACGTACTGAACTGATTGGCAGTTTTTTCTGCAAATTTTTGTCAACCAAGTTGATGTTGACATGACTACTGCAAATCTTTATGATGCTTCATCCACGTGGTGGCATGCGTTAGTTTTTTCCCGTATCCTTCTAATAATAGGTGGACTTTGTTTGCAGGTATGCCTCAGAATCCACTGTTGTTCGTTATGCTAAAATTGCTCAGGCGTTGAGTGATAAAACTGTTCGAGATGTTGCATTACGTTGCAGATGGATGAGTGTGAGCTCTCTCTTTTCATACTTGGGCTAATTCTCCCTTTTCTTTTGGATGTTTCACAATGAGATTTTCAGGATAAGTGTTCTGATATCCCATATGTTTGATATATAAATGAATGTAAAATCATGTCAGTTCACGATATCCATTATTTTATTTCCTTTTCCTGGGAATGTGGTGCGGTAAGAAATTAGCTCATGACTCCTGTCTCATGTGCTGGGGTCATAGTTTTTTCCTTGTAATTAATGTGTTAGCTATTCGACAATCACCATCGAGGTGAGGCTTTTTTATAAGAACGAATAGATGTCCCTATACTCCTGAGCTAGACATTCAACTTCGAGTATTATTAATAAACAACGAATTAGTTACACTTTGCCATGTCAAACTATATTAATGATATGCAATTTCTTAATTTTCTTTAAGGAAAACTTTGCTTTGTTGAAGAGTTAGGATATACCATTTTGAAAGAACAGAAAAACACTGGCTTGTTGCCAACTCTGGGGACTGTGTCCAGCAAAGATTCACTTTTTGAATTTCTAGTTGAGGAAAGTTGTGACGATTTTGGATTGAGTAGATAACTAACATAGATTCTTTCACTGATGAGCCTTATAAATGGTGTCCCAAAAAAATAAAAATAAAATACTAAAAGGACGCAAAATTTGCTATGTTTTCTATTTCACCACAGTATGTGAGAATGGTACACTACAGTAACAGGAGGAGAAGTAAGCAGATTCAACGTCTCAACTATTTCTATTTTCTGCTAATTCGGGTAATCCTGATTCAAGTGGTTTACTGTTTGCAGAAAAAGGAGAACGGAAAGCGGAGGAAAGATGAGAACAGTTCAAGGAAGAACAAAGATAAAAAGGTAAGGAAAATATTTAGTGTTATTAATCTTCAATTCGGTCACTAGACTCACTACCCGATACGCCTTTCCCAGTGCAATTGCGGGCTACAGGAAACTGTGGAGATGTTTCCAAGTGCATGTTATATATACGCTGTGCATGTTATCAAGTTCTGGCTTCACGCATAGTTTTCCTAATATTTTTTAAATGTTTATATTTTACTTCAACATAATCTGAAGCTATTTCTAGTTTTTTAAGTAGTTTTTGTCTGTGTTTGGGAATTTGTTATCACACAGTTGGCATCCTATAAGGGGTTGGACACATATGTTTCTAGTGAGGTTCTTTAAACAAATTCCTAATTACTCTGATTGGTTGTAGTTTTGCTATTGGCTTGCATTGGTTGATTTATGCAAGGCCAGGCTCAGTTGAGGACCACATGACTTGGATGAAAACAAATGTAGATGTTTTATGTCTATTTCATTCACTTTGTTTTGCATAGCTTGATGCAAAATGAGTTAAGTTTGATCATGGATGATCTATATGCCTATTTGACATCTCAGCATTATCTAGTAACATGTTATTAACTCGGATTTAGTGATCTATTTAGTTACATTGGAAATGTTAGCCTGTGTAATCAACCTGTAATTTAGGTGAAGAAGCGGATAATTTGTCATGATTAGAAGAGCTCTTGGCTACTCCACTACACTATTTATTTTGCGGCAGTTTGGTTTAGTGATACTTTGAAGCAAAGTGAAACTCAAATAAGTTATTTTGATACATTTTATTCCTTTTTTTGGTGGGTTTGGCTTAGTTAATCTTGTGCCAGTTGATTATCTGACTGAATATTTCACTTTTCCCGGGATTGTCAGGAAAAAGTTACAGAGCCAAAATCTTCTCAAGTTGCAAACCGCTCCAATGGCCATCCCTATGCTCAGTCAATGATGTCAGCGGACAGTGATGATGGAATCTCATTTAAAGGTAAACACACTCTTATCTCTTTTAAATGCACATCAATTTCATGTATGGTAACAAATGCTGTCAATGGAGATCTAGTTCTGTAATCACGATGAAGTTGGTAAAAGTTTTTTGTGGCCATAATTATATTTCTGTTGGCGTTATACTCTTTTTTTGCTAGCAAGTTCTTAGGCGTTGTAATGTAAGTGCCAGAGACATTTCAATTTTTTCTTTAGTCAGATATTAAAAGGATGTCATGGTTTAGAATCAGGCTTACAGTAGCTTCTGGAGGTGTGTTAGTTTGCTACTTCGCTTGGAATTTTTTAGAGTTCATTTACCCTTGTTAGGAATTGCTTCAGTCAGGTGTAGAAAGGTGCATGCTTTTCTCGAGATAGTTCCCATCAAAAGTGTGTATGAAATTTTTTATGCGGGCCTAAAAAGGCTCTCTCTCTCTCTCTCTCTCTAATTTAGTTTATTATCACTGATTTTGTTTAGTTATAAATTAGAAGGTTACTTCTATGAATCTGGTGATAATCTTATTAGCTCGTGTTGTTTTTCATTGAGAATCAAAATGACTTCCAATAATAGTGATCTTTTGGTAAGTCAAAGTTGTTTTTTGGGTTGTTTGGTCTGGGGAAAAGTAAAAGTCAAAACCCCTCCCCCACCCCATTTTAATGGAGGGCAAATTTTTATAAATGCAATTACTGTTCTACCCATTCATATATAATATTTTGTCCATTTGTTTCTTATATCATTAAGGGCATAACTGTCATTCTTACATTATCTTCCCCCGCTTCAGTTTCTAACCAAATAAGGTTTACCACTTTCCCTCCACTCCCCTCCTAAAAATTCCTCAGGTAAAATTATTTTACATCTCCTCCATTCCCCTCCATTAGAATCCCTCCCCTACCTTCCTCTCAATTGAACCAAACATTTAAAAGTATACTGTATTTGGACACACATAAAATTGTTTGTTTCGTCCTATCCACTTGACATATTTGGTGCGACTTTGATGTTGTGTTCTCTTCTCAGACAGATGTATTGATTGACATTTCCGAGCTATCTTGAAATTCATTTTTTTTTTTTTTTTTTTTNTTTTTTCAAAGCTAATCATTTGTCAGCACCTGAGAAAATCACATGGTTATAGCTTGCTTGCAATTGGAAAGCATGCAACTTGCATACTATGTCCTTGATTTTTTGTGGCCTTGTTCTATTATTGTCAGATATGAACTTTACACGTTAAGCAACCTTATATTCAAATGTATTTCAGCTATTGGTGGAGCTGCTGGGCAGCTTCTTGAGCAAAATGCTCAGGCGTTGGATCAAATTTCGGCCAATTTTTCTGCCTGCAAGGTACTTGCAGCTTCTATCCATTTAAATTCTCAATTTTCCTGAGAGGCTTAAATCCATAAGTACAGGAATGAAATTCGTATGCATTTCCATTAATTCTATTTAATGTTACATGCTGGGCCAAGAATGAAGCTCAACTCTTAGTAAACTGCAATTTTTCTCATCTCCTTTTACATGAATATTCTTTAGGATTAGGTGGGACCACGTCATAGTTTGGTTATGGTATCAATTGGTTGGCTTTGCAAAATTTGAACTTCACCAACATATTCAATTTTGTAACGTACATCTTAGGGCCTAGTCAATTAACAATTTTCAAAACTCTTTTGCTGAATGGATCAGCTTTATTAAGAACATGGTACATAGTTTATACTTAAGCACTGACTTATTTTAAGTAACACCATATCCATTGTTTGATGTGCAGATTCATGAGAACATCAATCTTTTCTGTCAAGCTCGGAGTAATATTGTTTCACTCTTAAATGAGTAAGTCAGGACACATCGCTCCTATTGTTGTTTGACATTCCTTGCATGTTTACTAAGCTGTAGCTGAAAATTTTGGGGGCTTAATTGAATATACTTTCATATAAATTTTTTTTTTTTGGTCTAATTTCTGGTTAAGAATAGGAATAAAAAACTTGCGAGAGAAGAATGATGATTTTTCATCCTATAGCTGTATTCGTTAGATGAAAAATAATGATTGCAGTTGATGTGGTAAAAATATATTTAGAAAAATAATTGGAAATGGTTGCTTGTTAGAAATATTTGTGTGAGTGTTTTAAATTTGTGTAGGAAATGTGTGGTAATGATTGTTCTTCAAGGAAAGATGTGTAATAGAGAATAATCTGGAAGTTTTCATATGCGATCACTCATTCGGATATTAATTAAATTTAAGATAAATTCATTTACAATCGCCACATTGTTTTTCTTGTTTTGTCGTTCAATACTTCGGTAATTTTGGATTATGAAGGATTTGGCAGTTAAAACGATCGTCTGTTTACTTTTGGTAATGGTGGGATTCTTTTTCTTTCTATCTAGATGTTATCTTCAAAATCCGATCGTGAGTGCATTTAGGAGAACCCACATTTGGTTAGGCATTTTTAAGTTTACCACATACGAACACTTCGGGATCTCTTTACAATTCTTCTGTTTTACGTGTTGCTGATGATTTTTGTTGGCAAACTAACATGAATACAATCGTTTCATCCATGTAGAGATCATATGTACATAGCAAACTTCTAGTTTGAACCTGCACGTTTCAAATCTTTCCTAATATCCAAAGTTCTTTGGTCATATGACAAGAAATATTACTGTGGTGTTTTTGAATGGCAGCTTAAGTGACATGCCGGAAATAATGAAGCAGATGCCACCTCTTCCGGTGAAGCTGAATGAAGACCTTGCAAACTCCATTCTTCCTCATACATTCATGCCGAATAAACCTTGAGATATCCTCATATAGGTAGCATCCGGGTCATTAGAGATTTCATTTAGAAGTCAGTTTGCCCGTCTCATGCTGAATCTAAATATCTGTAAAGATGTGCCCCACTACATTTTTATGTAGTTGTGGCAAAATAAGTTGGCTGATCACCTCAAGTTTAGCTTCAAGTGTTATCTGAAGGTGGTGTTTAACTTTTGCTTATCGTTCAAGTCTGTTGATGTTTCTTTGAAAATAGTCTAGCGTAGAGTTCATTTTTATGACTGTAAATAAGGGTAGGCGTAAATAATTTGACGTTCAAGTGTCAGCTGTGTAGTTATCGTCCGAGCATGTAAACTTGCAAAACTCTGCATTTCTTAACTTCCAATAACTGATTAGATGATTGTTTCTGTTGCTCTCTCCTTTTTTTTTTTTT